TTATCTGTGGGTTTTTGACTAATTAAGTGCTGATTTTGGATTTTGAAAACATCAGGTTACTTGATGTTATATGTCAGCCAAGTTTAAAGATATTCCCTTCAAATCAGAAGTTGATTGGTAAAAGTCTCATGGAAAGGCTGATTTAGATAAAACATTGAGTCTTTACGATGGAACAACAAATTTAGCGCCAGTGTGTTATAGACTGTAAATGTTATGAAGACTTGACAATCCTACAGTCTTCACCTGACAATGTTACCTGTATGAGTAATAAAACGATATGATTATATTATTGGATGTATGTTTATATCCATAACAATTTTTGCTCTAAAGCACTTGACAGTTTCACTACTGTCCTGCCAAATCTTCATTGCACACTGCACGAAGTCTCTCTTTGTTAATAGGTGTAGAAATAAGGGTGTAAAACTCCTTGTTATATTTCTTTTACAGATCGGCCAAGATGAAGTCTGTGGGTGTTCCCTAGTAACCAATGTTTTTGATGAAACTGGGGAACTATGTCGCGCTCCTAAAAGAAAATGCGTCAAACATTTTTGTTGGGAGAAATTACGACGAGCTGAGATTGATATGGAAAGATTAAGATGGGTTTGTATTCATTTTGACATTTTAAAGTCTACCTAAGTGTTTCCAAACACAGGAGATCAGCTTTCTCCTCTATATTTGGCTCATTTTCATCATCACTAATTTCATGTTTGTTACTTCCGGTATTACTATATGTATAATCAGTGTTAAAGTCATATATCAGGGGATGGTTTTACCAATATCTGTCTAAACGACGCACAAATGTTTTTACGTTCTTAGCTGAAACAACACTGTCAGGTAGGCTATTCCACACTTCAACTACTCTGTTGGTAAAGTAATATTTCCTGATGTCAAGTCTGCTTCTGTTTTTAACTAGTTTGAGCGAATTTCTTCTTGTTGACCATCAGTTACCCTTCGATCGTATACAAATTTATTTGTTTATATCTGGGAACATTTCAGGTCATAAATATGATTCGTTCATGCAGTATGTCATGCAGTATGTCTGACACATTTTCTCTTCTCTACATTGTATTTCATAGAAAGATAGTAACATAGCCAATATAAATAACAAGATATTAGTATTCAATTTCTTTGTTTTGATTATATTTCAGTGGATGGATCTGATTCAATTCCTTTGTTTTGATTATATTTCAGTGGATGGCTCTGATTCAATTCCTTTGTTTTGATTATATTTCAGTGGATGGATCTGATTCAATTCCTTTGTTTTGATTATATTTCAGTGGATGGCTCTGATTCAATTCCTTTGTTTTGATTATATTTCAGTGGATGGCTCTGATTCAATTCCTTTGTTTTGATTATATTTCAGTGGATGGATCTGATTCAATTCCTTTGTTTTGATTATATTTCAGTGGATGGATCTGATTCAATTCCTTTGTTTTGATTATATTTCAGTGGATGGCTCTGATTCAATTCCTTTGTTTTGATTATATTTCAGTGGATGGATCTGATTCAATTCCTTTGTTTTGATTATATTTCAGTGGATGGCTCTGATTCAATTCCTTTGTTTTGATTATATTTCAGTGGATGGCTCTGATTCAATTCCTTTGTTTTGATTATATTTCAGTGGATGGCTCTGATTCAATTCCTTTGTTTTGATTATATTTCAGTGGATGGATCTGATTCAATTCCTTTGTTTTGATTATATTTCAGTGGATGGCTCTGATTCAATTCCTTTGTTTTGATTATATTTCAGTGGATGGATCTGATTAAATTCCTTTGTTTTGATTATATTTCAGTGGATGGCTCTGATTCAATTCCTTTGTTTTGATTATATTTCAGTGGATGGCTCTGATTCAATTCCTTTGTTTTGATTATATTTCAGTGGATGGCTCTGGATGATTTATTTGAAAAAGAGAGAACTATCAGGATGTCCATGTCTAATAGAATGGGGGTGCTGGGATTGATGCTACATCAGTCTGTGGACCATGACCCTATGACCCCTATGACTACACCACAAATTAGAGATTCCAATTAGAATACCAACCTAACTACACAGCTAAT